GCGGACCAGCCGGGAGCAGCTGGCTCTGGGGAATCTCCCGGTGACCCTGAGACCAGGGCTACTATGGAGACGCCCAGGATGCTGCAGTGAGGACAAAGGACCCCTGCAGCCACCCCGGGCCCCCTGGCAGCCGAGGGGACCTGGCTCTGCTCTGGTCCTAGGGGAGCCTCCGCCAGCCCCCCATCCCTGGCTCGTCCGGCCCACCTCTTTGCGAGCAGTGGTGCTGGGCAGACTCGGAGGCGCGGTTTGTCCCCCATGCTGGGCTGTAGAAGCTCTGGCCCATCTCACAGCACCCGCTCCAGCCTCTCGGGGCAGTGCCAACCCTCCACCACAGTGCTTTGTGATCCCCAGAGTGGCACGTCCCTTGCTAGTGGGCGAGGGGCGTCACCCACAGCTCTGCAGCCCCCTGTAGGGTCCCCGTAAGAGTCCACAGCCCAGCAAGCCGCCCCTGCGCGAAGGAAATGGCTGTCTGCAGGTGTTGAATTAGCCTGCGGAACTCACTGCTGCAGGACACATTGGTGAAGCAAAGAACTTACCAAAGGAGTAGATGTGGCTATGGCCTCTGCAATGATGTTTCCGAGGAGAACCCTGGCCCGCACCATCTTCAGAGCTTGACTTGACCTTGGCAGAGGGAGCCGGTTCAGTCCAGCCAATAAATTGAGCAAAACCAGCTGCCAATCAGACCACAGGGGTGGCGGCACCCACTGAATTGACACCCAGGGTGAGCCCTGTCCCGAGACCCTGCCCTGCTCCTCTTGCTTCAGGGCACCCGCAGGGATCAGGTTTCTCTCTGCCCCACTGCCCGTGCCCAGACCCCTCTATGTCTGGCAGGGCAGGAGTGTGCCCTGCCAGCTGGGTCCCAATGCCCGGGCAGAGCTGGGTGAACAGCTGAGGGGCAGGCCAGGGCAGAACCAGCAACAATTGTAACAAGCCAACGTTGGTTCATGTCGAGCCCAATTTGGTCGGGATCTGGGGGAATGAGAAAATCCCTCATGCAGGGCAGGGTCCCGGAGCTCCAGTTCGACAGCCCCATGGCAGAGCCCTGGCAGCCCGAGGCAGCGGCCCACGACTCACTGCACCGCAGCCAGACCAGAGCACTGGGCTGATGGGTGTACAGGGGGCAGGACCCAGTCACCTCCTCTGGCTGTTGCAGACTGTCTCAATGGCCAGAAACCAGTTTCCCTAGCCCAAGAGACTGGTCTGAAAATCTCGCTGGGGTCCAGCTCCAGACCCTGCCACTAGCCCCGGGCCACCTTCCAGCAGGTTGGCCACGATTGCCCCCTCCGTGCAGCAGCGCTTGGGGGCTCCGTGGCCAGAGGGGTGCTATCTGGCGGTGGGACCGGCCCTCGCCCTGTGGCCAGCCCAGCAGGCATGAGCCACATAGTGGGACTGTCAGGGGGAAGGATCTGAATTGTTTGCTGGAGCGAAACACATCTCCAGCAACCCGCAGGGTCCAGGCCTCCTCAGAGCCCCTAGGGAGCCCAAGTGATCCACCCCTGCTGCCCATTTCCAGCCCCTCACAAACAGAGGCTAGAGACCATCCCTGCCCAGCCTGGCTAACAGCCAATGCTGGACCTGTCTTCCATGGATTTATCTAGCTCTTGTTTGAATCCTGTTAAAGTCCTGGTCTTCACAACATCCTCTGGCAGGGAGTTCCACAGGTTACCTGTGCATTGCATGAAGAAAAACTTCCTTTGGTTTGCTACCTATTCATTTCATTTGGTGCCCAAAAGTTCTTATGTTATAGGAACAAGCCAGGCACTTTTCCTTGTTCACTTTCTCCACAGCCGTCATGATTTTATAGATCTCTATCATATCCCCCCTTAGTCTCCTCTTTTCTAAGCTGAAAAGTCCAAGTCTTTTTAATCTCTCTTTATACTGCACCTGTTCCAAACCCCTAACCATTTTGTTTCCGTTTTCTGAACCTTTTCCAAGGCCAATAGATCTTTTTTGAGATGAGGCAACCACATCTGTACGCAGTATTCCAGATGTGGGCACACCATGGATTTATACAGAGGCACTAAGATATTCTCAGTCTTATTCTCTAGCCCTTATTTAATGATTCCCAACATGCTGTTTGCTTTTGTGCCTGCTACTGCACACGGAGCAGGTGTTTTCAGAGAACTATCCACAATGACTCCAAGATCTCGCTTGAGTGGCTGTAGCTAAATTCGTCCCACCCTTTTGTACATGGGATGTGCATTGTTTTGCATGTATCAGCATTACAATTCATCTGCCTTTGGGGACTCTGCGTGGCCAGAGAGGTCAGAGCCCCTGGGCCTAACCCAAGCACACATGCAGACCATGAACTGACTGGGCCCCGAACAGAGCTCCCCTGTGGGGTGCGGCAGTGGCTGGGTGCCCAGCATCCCCTCTGGGGTGTGGTACACGCTGGCCTGGCCTTTGAGCTCTGTGCCGGCTCCAGCAAGAGGGGCAGGACTCTCTTCAAATACCTTTACTAGCGTCGCCCCCCTGCCTGCAGCGCCCCGGGGCTGGTGGCTGCAGGAGCCCGAGGAGGCCACGGGGGTGGGGGCAGCCTGGGCGCCAGCCTGGCCTGAGGAGGATTAATCACTGAGGAAGTCGGTCCTCATTCCCGCCGAGTCTGTGTGTCACCCCGGCAGGGCGGGGCCTGGCCAAGCCCCTCCCCCAGCGCCCGCGTCCGGAGAGAGGGAGCTGCCGGGCACCCGGTGTCAGGAGCCGGCTCAGAGGCAGAGGCTGAGCTCCTTGGTCACGCGGCACTGGCGGCACTGCACCACGCAGCACCAGTGGAAGCGGCACAGGCAGTTCTCCTCCAGCACCAGGGTCTCGGCGCGGTGGCCGCGCCCGCAGCACAG